AGACTTGCCTGAAGATGTCTCAGAATCAAGTGCTACACATTTCCGAGATAAACAGTTTTCACAGATTGTGTAGGTGGACTCCAAAACATATTCCAGGACTCCTATTAAAATTCCTCCACGTGGCTGCGATGAAGGATGTTGAACCATGCCACATCACTGTGTTTAAACATGCATTTTTCAAGACAAAGCTTTAAGACACAAGTGTATTCTGCAAGCTTTTTTCTGTCATGCAGCACAGAACTCTTCAACCAAGTTTTCCACCGAGCATGTAAATTAGTCTTTAGTTTAAGTCTAACGTGAGGACACAAAGATAAACAAAACTGGTGAACAAATACGATCTACCCCACGCACACTTGTCAACTAAAAGATCATTTTAAAAGATGTTTGCCTGCTAGTTTGAAAGGGACCTGGTACAGAAGTCACATCTGCTATATAATTATCACAGCACATGATCCTGCTCTTCATTTCTGAAGTGCTTACATGCTTTCAGAGAATGCCTATGAACTGCACAGCGTTAGTAACTCAAGTGACAGTCCTTTAACCATTTTGTATTAACACTCAGCTACTTTCAAGTGCAAAAACCTTGAAGGGAAGAAGTTCATCCATACCACTGCTATCAGTGCAACACTAAACGACGCCCCTGACGTTCACAAAAGGGTGTATGTTAGTGTTACCACTACACCAAATGCTAATTTGTGCTGTTTTACTGTAAATAGTTGTAGGACTTCATTATTCAAACAGCACTAAAGCAGAAAGGAAAAGGGCTACAAATCTTCTCTAGTACTTCGCAGCAACACTGCTTTATTCCCATCCAGTGATAACAAGACCGTCACTTACACAGTAAATGAAGAACTTGCTGTGATGTGCCTTGGTTTTCATGAGGATGCACGACTACTGTCACACAAAGGTGAAGTCACACATGCAGCTGCACTGTACTGCTTTGCATCAGAACCGGAGGTGTTTCGAACCAATGCTTCAAATCAACAGCACTGAGTTCCTCTGATTTCTTCTCATTTGGAATGCCTCATTTTCATGTTGTTTCACTAGTTTCAAAGTCTTGTTCACTATCAGCCGAATTTTATTTCTAAGTCTCATGGAATAAAGTTCATTGCGTAGTTATCTGAACCCTTACGGGACAGAAGTTTAAAAACAAACATGCATGCATGCAAGGCAGTACAGTGCTTCAATGGAAAGGATGGACACGTGTTTCAGTGATGTATAATTCAGTCACCACGTCCACGCTCGTTTTCAGTACCTGCTAGATATTTCATTTCTGACGGAGAATTCCAAGAAAGTAGAGAAAAGGCAAAAGTGAAGATTACTAAACTTCGAGATGTCAAAGCACTTTGGCAGCTATAGAGCTAAGTGTCAAAACCCATTGTCCTATTTCCCCTTGTTAAAACAACTGAAAAAACCCACTCAGCTGTACAGCTTACTCAGTGTTTTTCAAAGGACAAAAAGCTGCTAAGGAAGATTACTTCACACACAGGCTGTTCCCTCAGTTTCGGTCGGGTTTTTTGTTTAGCATTCGAGGAACTCTTGTCTCCCTCCAAGCTGCACACCTGACAAGCTTGTATTAAGTTCCAGCCACAGCATAAGCAGCTCTCACCAGGGGGAAAAAAACCCACTAGCCTGGGCATGAATCACTTAAAATCAGGATAAAGCAGGCATTCTGCTTTGTATTTACACACGGTCCTCAATGCCTACACCACCACACATCCTCAACAAAATTTCCTCTACGAACAACACCATAAACAACAGTAACTTGGTGGAGTAGCATTAGGCATTTCGGTAGTCTGAATAACAAGTGTTATGAATATCCAATTTGCATATTGCAAGGCTGAGTTACAAGATTAGAGCAATACCATTAGATTTACGAAAGCTTAATTTTAGTTCCAGTGATAGGTAGGAAACAATCATTGAAGAAGCATTGTTTCACATTACACCAGCTAAGCTTGCAGCAGTAAGAAGCAAAACTAAGCTACTGAGCTGGTAAGAAGCTTACAATACCGCACAGATTACCTTCTGTCATCCAGCAGAACAGGTAAAAGAAATGGAAGAAAAACAACGTTACTCTGTTGAACAATTTCTCATCAACATTTCAAAGGCAACATGTTCACTCTAGCTTAGAGATATTCTCATCCTACCTTCTTGCCAGCACCGACATTTGCCTTGGCTGTGCCCCTGACTTTCTTCATTCTGTTCTTACGCTCCTTTCGCTGCTTCCTAGAAGTCTTCTTCTTTTCATACAAGCCATGCTATGAAAAAAACAGGTAAAGTTGCACTTAACTTTGTTTCACCAACAGCAGCGCCTGAAGTTTTACTATTTCTGGACTCTTCAAATACGGCATACATTTGAAATATTAGCTAAGCAGTAAGACAAGCTCACTAGTTGATGAATGATTCAACACAGAACATAAGCACTGAACTAGCGTATGTATCAGTCTCATCTCTTCTACTTCAAGACCTTTAATAGTGGTCAGTTATCTGTTACTGCTGAACATCGCTGGTAACATCGGTTTTGCCTTCGCAACTCCCCTATACCAAACAATAAAAAAACCTTACCCTAAGCCACAGACACAGAAGCTAGCCTATGCTACTTTAAGACTTCTCACATATCCCAGAGTATGCTAACAGTACTCTCACAGACCTCCAACTTTCATACGCATAAATCATGAACCACTGAACACTTCAAATCCATCCTAATTGTTTTGAAGTTTCCAGAAAAAAACCCACCCTGGCAAGCCTGTGCTTTGGTTCGTTTTTCTTTGCATAGTCCAGAGAATCATAGATCATGCCAAAACCTGTTGTCTTGCCACCACCGAAGTGAGTTCTGAAGCCAAAGACGAAAATTACATCAGGGGTCGTCTTGTACATTTTTGCCAGCTTTTCCCTGATTTCTGTTTTGGGGACTGTGGCCTTCCCAGGATGAAGAACATCAATCACCTAGGAAGAAATTTTTACAAGTTGTGTAAGAGCAAGAGAAGGTCAACAACCGATACGGCAGCCAGGTGCTACAGTCCCATCACGAGCTTCACTCAAACTAACCCACCTTAGCAGCAGGTGTTAATATTACAGTTAATAGCATTATTAATTTGATACAGAAGCATTCGTAACAGTTTCCTGCTTCAAAAGACAAAACAGCTCGCTACCTCACCATCACAATTTACTTTCAGCATGCATTAACACTTTTAAACCTACAAGCTCTTGCAATAAGAGCTGTGGAGTTTTTAAGAGTCCCCTACTTATAGTGGCTGAAGAACACCTGCAGGCAGAACCAACAGCCAAATAAAGACAATTTTCTGTGCTCTCATACCATCTGTTTGCGCTGAAGCAGTCTGTTTGTCATGAACTTCCTGGTTCTGATGGTCACAGTGTCGTTCTGTAAGAGAAGAATGAAAGCAGTAAGGCAAACCAGTAACGACACATACGATTTAAACTGAATAAACACATAAATAACGCACGGTACAGCACCAGTCAGTCTCACATGCCAACAGCGGGCTCACAGCCTGAGCGGGCTGGTCCTGGGCTACAGCTAACAGCCCTGGAAAGTTCACTGTCGTACGCGCTTTTAGGTACACAGCAACTGATGACAGATGCGTCCTCAGCCTCCAAACACCGCTGAAACGTGCGTGCCTCCACCGTCCCGAGAGGCTGAAGCAGCTCTTACCGCAACACACGGGTTACACGGCACAACGCAAGCCCCCGCAACGACCCACACGCTGTCCCCTCAGCGCCCTCAGCCGAGAGCGGCCACAGGCCCGAACGGGCGG